AAAAAAAAAGGAAATGTTGCCGACGATCATCTTAACCAAGGACGCGGGGGCAAAACTTGCAACCTTCGCCGAGATCGCGATTTTGCGAGCCGGCGCGGTAGGTCGCTCGAATAGCATGCCTCTTGCAAATAATAATTCTAAGTCGAAGAAGAGGATCACTGCAAGTCAGAGCTTGGACCTGACCTTTCTTGCGTGCCCACTGCGCCTTCTCTGAAAGCGCAGTTGTCCACGAGTATGCTCGGATCATCTAGGCACGGTATGGTGGGAAACAAATAGGTACAGGCGCGAAAGTGTTCGCTGCAGCCGATTCTGCAACGAACAGAGGAGGACAACGAAAAGGTTGAGTCGAGCTGGGGTTCAATACTGGACTTGAACTTTGATATTCTCGGAATTCCGTCGGCCCACCATCAGTTGGATACAGCGTCAGCCTCCATTTCATCTCTCGGCTCCTTCTCGGACTTCGCGTGAGTCTTTCGCTGGTGGGGGAGGTCGTTCGTCGCAGACGGTTAACGAACACTGGCACCGGCACAGTACTGAGTGTGTCATCGATACGTGAGGGGCGATCAGCCCGTCAACCTTCTGATCAAGACCATGAAAAGCCGAGAGAAAGTTCTCTTGACTCACACATGTCCGTCAGTGGCCGGCCGGAGGCAGATGGCTGTCCAGGGGCAACAGCAGTGTACTTGTGCACGTGAATAAGGCGCCGCCAGTCCCGTGAGAAGTGAGCAGTCTGTAAGGCAGCACGACGGTGATCTCCTGGAAAAGCCTCAGCGCAGCGTACGAAGGGAGTAGCGAGCAGACAGTGGTCGGTCAGGGCGCTGAGCAGTGCGAGAGCACCTTCCAGACCGCGAAAGCCACGAGAGCAGTGTTCATCGTGAAAGACATCGGACAACAATTCCGAATTTGTGTCACGTCACCAGCCCAATTCCGGCGGACGAGTTAAGCATGTTTTGCTTCCTCTTCAGGAAGCGGCAGACAACGAAGAAACTCTGGCAAGCCGACTGGTCTGTACGCGGACTGGTTGCGGTGCTTTTTGCCATAGAGTGTGTTTGAAATGTGCATGCAATCTGCGTGCAGAACAGCGTCTCGGAGGCTAAGTATTTCGGGTAAAGGAGTCAGCGGGCCCACAGGGTCGGCAAGACTGCTCAGAGAATAATCATTTGCTGGGAGATAACTTCCATCTCTCCGTTCAATAGTTGGACCAAGTCGCTTGTCAAGGACAACTTGAAAAGCAGACCGTCGGTGTTAGCCAACTGGAGCCAGCGGTCCCAATTCCTTTTTCGCCTGCAGAAGTATTGAATTCTAATTTCTGATTTGTGGACGTGGAAATGTACTACAATCCTTTCGAATAGCGAGATTCGAGAACTTTGAAGAACTTACTTGGGATATTTGTAAGATTTTGAAGATACAGCTGGTCTGGAGAAGTGGCCCGTGCTGCCACGGCGCACCAGCGATCCGGAAGAACTGCACGCCGGAAAATGCTAATCTTCCATCGCGCTCGCTCTCTCCTTACATCATTCTCTCTGCTATCTTGTCTGCTGCGTTCCGTTGCAAGGTCCAGTCATGTCTTCGAGCTCGGCAGGGGCGCAGCAAGAATCACACCAGCGTGTCGGCTATGATACCAGTACCCGGAAATGGACTGGTCAAGGCTTAGCGATAGTCAGTGACAGGAGTGGCCAGGTGCTTCTTTCTGTTCCCATCGAGTTTCTCAGCAAAGGAATGGTCAACAGTTTCGCATATGTGCTACAAAGTATTCACATGGCATTTGATGTCAGGGCTGGCCGCATCTGCAGCGAGGCAGGTGACGAATGCAGTCCTCTGGATGCTGTCACTCCCGGTCGATTCATATACTGGAACGCTGGTATGTATAGTCCACACAACGCGTGCTCTGCCACGTTCGCATACCACCCTGAATGCACCGCTCACAAATCGCACTTCTTCACATCTTCCTTGGACAGAGACCGTCTTCTGCAGGCCACGCATCGGACCTCGTTTCAAGTTCATGTCGAGACCTCCTCACGCTGGCGATGATCTAGCAAGCACGATGAGCAACTCCAAACGATCATCTGCGAATCAGGTACGTCCCATGGTTAATGAAGCATGGCATGTAGCAATACAGCAGGAACTCTCAGCTCAATCCGCATCTTTCAATGTTCCATCAGTCCAAGTTTCGCTTCACGGTGGTAGCTCGGGACTACTTCTGTTTGATCTCAGACGTAGAATATCCGTCTTGCACGGCGGCTCATATACTTCCTGTTTCGCGGCCCGAGGTACGTAGATGATTTGCACGGTTGTCTCGCAGAATGCTACCGCTAACCAACCGAGCTTTCTGCATTCAGTATTACACCGAAGTGTTAGGACACACGCCTACCTCTCTGTTCCAAACCCAGTTTGGCGTCCTGTTGAGAGACGACATTCACCACGCTTTCGACAGAGGCCACATCGCTTTGTATCCTCTGGTAAGAGTTTGCTTCTGCTTCCACAAGCTGCTCCTCATGATCACGACACTAACACGCGTTGCAAATCAATCCCGCCAGATGAACACGGAGAACGAACTCGTCGTTCACATCTTCTATCCTGAAACACAGTCTCAGAGGGACTTTCACGGAAAGGTCATACGTCCAGAAATTCGATTTCGCGGCCCGCCGGACGACTATCCTGATACGCAGATGCTGCTCTTTCACTATCAGCAGTGTGTGATCAAGTGTTTCCGAGGTTGGTCGGCTTTCTGATATGCAGCGCTTTTGCACCTACCTCTCTACGAGCAAATTCATCCGAATGTGATTATTGATAGATCCGTCGTTGCCCCTGCTTCTCAACGACGATCCAGCTTGAGGACCTCTCGCGGCGCAATGGCGTACAGAAATCATCTGAGACGATGGCCCAGGTGTGGAACAGAGGACTTGCCAAGGCATACCTTGAGATTTCCTGACTGCGCAAGGGTAGCCCTAGGGCGTTGGTCCGCCTCCAGTGAAAGCAACTTAACAAATCTGCGGGTGAAATCGTTGTCTCAGGGAAAGATGTGAGTACTTGTGATGATTGCCCCCACTCAGCCTGCCGGAAGATGCGTCGGAGGAGATTCGGACACGTTCGAACCAGCAACAAGAAAGCATCATCACGATGCGATGAGAGCCCATGCCATCAGTGCTTGACCTGATGTTCGTATTCAGGCCGAATGACGGTGCAAGCCGAGAGGTGACAGCAACCCGCAGAGAGGCGGGGGGACCCGTTGTCGTCGGGGGCATCTTTGGATACAAGCGACGCCTCGAGGCCTCAATCGTTAGCCAGGCCTTTGTATGTTTTGTCCCCAACGGCAGCGGTCTGTCACTCGCCCGCTCGCGCACATCTTGTTGATGAACGCATGCAGCCACAGTCTGAACATTCGTGCCGTATCGCATGCATTTTGGTCAGGCAGGTTCGTGGTAAGGTGCCCTGACTAGCGATACCCATCCTGATCCGTTTCGCTGAAGTTTCGAGTATAGCGCATGCTGCCACTGACCATCCAGGGTCCTCCCTCTCCTGTTCGCCTGACGTCGACAGTCTTCAGAAACGATGTCGTGGACGGAGACGGCGAGACCGGGAATTTGCGACGCCGCCGTGCTTTCATATATGGGCCGATCTTTTTTTCGCACTTGCGGTCGCACCAACATGCCGGGAGCTGATCGAAGCTTTGAAAAGCGGCAGCGGCCAAGGGCTTCCAAGCCGCACTCTTCAAACGTTGGTGGGTTGGTTCGGCGCGAGCCCACCAAACTTCTGGACACGTAGTTTCTTGTGCCCTCAAGTGCCCTCAAGCAGATTGCAGGTTGCAGGTTGAGCGCCAGAACACAAGTAAACTCTTGGTGAAGGTTAAGAATCCAACGAAAGGGACGAGCGTTGGACGAGCGTCCTCCCCCCCCCCCCCCCCCCCCCCCCCCCCCCCCCCCCCCCCCCCCCCCCCCCCCCCCCCCCCCCCCCCCCCCCCCTCTCCTTCCCCAGGTGCACGTGGCGTTGAAATCTCCGGCGGCTGGCGTTCAGAATGTGACGGACAATGTCTGCCAAAAGCTGATGTTCGATGGTGGCATTTCCTGGTTCTACACCTTCTGTTCGAGCAGCATCTCGTTTCGATCCTTGGTCAATGCTTCCAGAGACAGTCGACCGATGACGCAGAGCAATTTCCATCAGTGCCGCTTTGCAAAACCACGAAGCATGCCCACCAAGCTCATCATAGCTCAAGCCTAGAGCGCACTGCAAAATTTGACTGCATGTCGCCGAAACACCTTCTTCTCTCGGGCCGATCTGAGATGATGTGCGGCGTGGAGAAGTTTGATTTTTAAGCCTCTTTGCTTGTCGAATGGCTCTAATCGAATGGCGGGAGGGGACCAAAATCCCCGTCTCGAGCTCCTTCCCGAAGAACGACGCCGCAAGAAAGCTACTCAACGGTCAGTCTGCACGCGACGCGGGGGGAGTGATAGAAGATTACGCTCTTTATTGATTGCAGAACGCGGATGTGGCCCCTTCAATCTGGACTCGGCGCACGATGAAACCGTCCGAAGCCTTTCTGAGCCGGAGAAGCATCTGTCAGACCATTCGCACTCCGCCAACGTAAACGTGCCATTGCGTCGAAGGCAGCAAAACGACGACGCACGCAAGTGCGCGAGCAAGTTTCTCTTCTCCGACGGTATTGCCAACCCGTGATGTGATTTTGCCTTGTCTTTATGCAAAGGCAGAAGTAGACGTGGAGTCTGCATCGATTTCAGAAAAGCTACAAAGATGCACAAACGTCCGACTAGATTGACCTTTCTCTCTTTCTTGAAGACACACCCACGGGTGGGGTGTCAGTCGAAGATAAGTTCGCATGAGTGGAAGCTTGTGACAAGCGCTTTAGATGAGATTCTTGGCAAGCCATTTGCACTGCAAGCGGCCATGGACTTACTCACAAGCCTGTTTTGATGATTTGGAGCGATGTCAAGCTGCAATCATCGGCTTACACGTTCTGGGTAAAAGCGGAAGGATCCGAGTTAACGTGAACGTGTTCGGTCGTCTCTCAACACCGGGGTTTACAGCCAACAACTGTATCAGATTCGTGCATGGCACCTCGAACTTAAGGTATACCCGTCTGAGCGAGAGCAGACCGGGACTGAGAGGCGGCATAAGGCAACGGATTGTGTTCAACCAAGCTTGATGTGACGGAAGCGGAACACCGTGGTAGTGCTGCGAGGGATGGGACACGGCGTCAGTCTCGGCATCGAAATGGATGCACATCGGGTGGTCCAAGTCAAAAGAAGACTTGTAGCATGAAACTCACCTGTCCGGAGAGGTATCGCTATCCTCAGCCACGAGGGATGCGACTGCTGTGTCATACCGCTGCCTCTGCCCACTTGCATGGTCGACTGCATGTTGAACACGGGACAGCAGAGGCACGCCCTTGTCCAGACAAGAGTCCGGCTCCAAGGAGCGTCCACTTTTCAGCAGACTGGACGATTGTGAGCTGGAAGCTTCGGTTGTTATTATCCCAGCTTTGCGGGGCCAGATACTCACCTTTCCGTGCGCCAAAGATTGAAGAGACTGTCGAGAATTGTAGCATCGCTGAGTAGATCGTTCGTGCTAGGCCTCGCATCGTCCTGCGTGACTCAAAGAGCATGGGTATGAGCATCCAAAAAAATCTTCATCTTGGAATCCTGATGATGACGACGAGGCTTTGTCGCTCGGACGGATGTACTCACCATTCTCGACAGCATGCTGTCGATGGCAGAACGGAAGGGAAACATGCCTTTTCCGGTCCTGACGTTGACCCGAACGTTGTATTTGGATGTTCCTGTCTCCAGCTCGCGGTGCAAAGGCCTGTACAGAAGAATCTGGGTGAGACTGAAACCCGAAGAAAGCTGCGTGTCCCTTCGCTTACATTCCTGTGAACAGCTCCCACAGCAGGTTGCCGAGCGACCACACATCCGTCGCTGTGCCGTAGGGCAGGCCGTTGAGCATCTCCTGTTACAAATAGAAAAGTCCGGTGCGACAGACAATGGAAAGTGGAGATGCAGCGGCGGAGGTGGTGAGACTGGCTGGGACCAACGCTTGGACAAATGCTTTAGGCAACCCTTCACAAAACTTACGGGGCTGCGGAAGCCAGGAGTCTAGTTTTGTGAGCGGTTCGGAGGAGAGGAAGAGGTAAGAGAGAAGTCAGCAAAGCACCTTCGCGGCCGACAGAAGGTTCGGTAACCTGCATCGGTACCCACTCCGGCTATCCCCAATCTCGCCTTTGTGCCCCGATGGATCACACAAGCCAGACCGAAGTCGGAAACTTTCGCGATGCCTGAATGGTGGATGAGTACTGATGGTGGAAAGGAGAAAGCTGGGAGATTAGCATGCTGTGTTGACGAAGCAACAAGGTCCGGAACTTGCAAGTTGAAAGCCGAATAATTGATAGCGGCCGAGCTAGTCACTCACTGTTCTCTGGCTTCAGATCCCGATGAAGAATGGCCCTGCGAAGCTTTTGACTTGTGTGTAGGTAGTGCAGAGCAAAGATGATCTGCAGGGCCAGGCATTCCGGCCTGATTCGCTCGAACA